GGAAATCGGTGATGGCCTTTCGCTGTTCGTAAAGGCGGTTAACATATGTAGGGTTGAATTCCACCTTGTTGCAACGTCACAGCATGAGGAGTCGGTACGGGGGCCCATGGCAGATTACGGGGCCTGGCAGCAGCAATGGGAGGCCCGTAATCTGCCAGCACCCTATGAAAAAATGGAACCCACCAGCAGTGTGAGGAGACCTGGGAAAGTGGCACAGGGCAGAGGGTGGCGATGGAGACAGGCAGCAATGGGAGGCCGTACAGGGACCCATGAGACACTCTGGACCTGGCAGCAAGCATGAGGAGTCCGCGGCGGTACAGGGGCCATGACAGATTACGGGCCTGGCAGTAGCATGAGGGAGTTGGTACGCGGGGGCCCATGGCAGATTACGGGCCTGGCAGCAGCAATGCGGGAGGCCCCGTAATCTGCCAGCACCCTATGAAAAAATGGATGGAGGACGTGGCAGGGGATGTGAGGAGACCTGAAAAGTGGCACATGGCAGAGTGTGGCGATGGAGACAGCAGCAATGGGAGGCCGTACAGGGACCCATGACTGATTACTCTGGACCTGGCAGCAGCGGATGAGGAGGTCGGTACGGGGGCCCATGGCAGATTACGGGCCTGGCAGCAAGCAATGGGAGGCCCCGTAATCTGCCAGCACCCTATGACAAAATGGAACCCAACCCAGCAGTGTGCATCTATAGACCTGGAAAGTGGCACATATGGCAGAGTGTGGCGATGGAGGACAGCAGCATTGGGAGGCCATACAGGGACCCATGAGACACTCTGGACCTTGACAGAGCAGCATGAAGGGAACGGGTGAACTTGCAATATTATACGGGGGCCCATGGCAGATTACGGGCCTGGCAGCAGCAATGGAGAGGCCCGTAATCTGCCAGCACCCTATGACAAAATGGAACCCACCAGCAGTGTGAGGAGACCTGAAAGTGGCACATGGCAGAGTGTGGCGATGGAGACAGCAGCAATGGGAGGCCGTACAGGGACCCATGAGACACTCTGGACCTGGCAGCAGCATGAGGAGGCGTACAGGGGCCCATGACAGAATTACGGGCCTGGCAAAGCAGCATGCGGGTCGGTACAGGGGGCCATGGCAGATTACGGGCCTGGCAGAAAGCAATGGGAAGGCCCCGTAATCTGCCAGCACCCTATGACAAAATGGAACCCACCAGCAGTGTGAGGAGACCTGAAAGTGGCACATGGCAGAGTGTGGCGATGGAGACAGCAGCAATGGGAGGCCGTACAGGGACCCATGAGACACACTCTGGACACTCTGGACCTGGCACGGGGGGGGGCAGCATGAGGCCGGGGGTGCGGTACGGGGGCCCATGGCAGATTACGGGCCTGGCAGCAGCAATGGGAGGCCTGTAATCTGCAACCCACCCCCACCTATGACAAAATGGAACCCACCAGCAGTGTGAGGAGACCTGAAAGTGGCACATGGCAGAGTGTGGCGATGGACGACAGCAGCAATGGGAGGGCCGTACAGGGACCCATGAGACACACTTGGACCTGGCAGCAGCATTGATGTGAGAGGCGGCACAGGGGTACCCATGGCAGATTACGGGCCTGGCAGCAGCAATGGGGGAGGCCCGTAAATCTGCCAGCACCCTATGACAAAATGGAACCCCACCAGCAGTCGTGAGGAGACCTGAAAGTGGCACATGGCAGGAGTGTGGCGATGGAGACAGCAGCAATGGGAGGCCGTACCAGGGGACCCATGTGACACACTCTGGACCTGGCAGCAGCAGTGAGGAGGCGGTACAGGGGCCCTTGGCAGAGTGGCGTGGGCCTGGTAAGCAGCTTAAATTGAAGGCCAGTACAGAGTGCCTATGTTTAAAAATAATAACATGTTGGGGCATGATTTATGGCGGATTTAGTCAGTTGTGTCCAGGAATGGTGGGTTTGAAATCCAGACTAATCCACCGCCGTGATTAATTTTCACAAACGTGGAGTCTGACCTCCCACTCTTGGGTGGACATACCTCCTGCCGTCGTCCGAGTGCCACGCTCTGGGCGGGCGGAGTTAGTGCGGCAATACCTCCGGGAGGGACTCGGCACTAAGTGTGGAGAGACACGTTTTGGGTGGCAGCGTGTCCGATGCGGAGTTTACAATTACCTCCACGCACTAATGTTACGATGCCACGCTGGCGGGCCATGACAGCCTTTCAAGGGCAAATTCCGCTAGTTGGGGCCCCAAAAGGTCAAGTTTCGTTGCCCAGTAGTCAAGGGTAATTTGTCTAACCTCGGCTACGTTGGCAGGGTGCTGTCCATGTAGGCCCGAGCCTGTTGTTTGAGGTCCTGCTCCAGGTCCACCTGATGCTGCTGCTGCTGCGGCTGGTTAGTAGTTTCCTCACTGCGCTGGTGAAGAAAGCTACTCATCATCGACTGCAGGACTGAGGCAGCCGCTGCTGGTGGAGCTGCCACTGCTCCTACCACCCCACCCCTCCCCCTGATGCCATGGCAACGAGGGAACGCGAGCGCACAGGGCCCACAGTGTCTGAGGATGGACGTTGGCGCAGAAAGGCCAGAGACCAACTGACTATACATACGTGGTTTTTATAGTACGTTTTTTTGGCCTCCCTCTCATGCAGGTATGAAAAAGGCCACCAGAATTTTTGAACGGTATAGCGAGGGTCCAACATGGTGTGGACAGCCAAAAGTCGAATCCCTCTGTCTGATGGTTATTATTCGGCTGTCGCTACGCAAGCAAACGAGCATGCTATGGGCCATTTGTGCCAAGGAATGCGAGGGACTCCCTGCCTCCATCTCCCACAGCATACTGCCACGGTGCATCTGGGTCCTCTGTCTCCTCCTCCTCCTCCTTTACCCAGATGCTTGCTCTGCTCCTCCACTCCTGTCCGACTGAGTGGAAAAAACCACCCATTTCACTCAATATATTCCTGAGCCACGACCAATGTTCCTCCTCTACCTCCTCCTCTTTCTTCTCCTGTCCTGCTGCCCCCAAGGGGTCATGTGGCAGGTTGAGATATGTGCGCCACGTCTACCGCACCCTGACCAGCCATTGTTAACAGCATTTGTTCCAGGACGTGCAACAGAGGAATGGACGTGTGTTCATCCCATAGTCCTGCCGACTCTGACGAATAGCGTAGGCCTCCTCAAAGGGCCTGAGCAAGCGGGCAGGTGTCACGCATGAGCTGCCAATTGGCTGACAATCCGAAGTGGACACAGGGGAGGTACCTTTATCCTCTTGTAACATCAGGAAATCGGTGATGGCCTTTCGCTGTTCGTAAAGGCGGTTAACATATGTAGGGTTGAACTTCCACCTTGTTGCAACGTCACAGCATGAGGAGTCGGTACGGGGGCCCCATGGCAGATTACGGGGCTGGCAGCAGCAATGGGAGGCCCGTAATCTGCCAGCACCCTATGACAAAATGGAACCCACCAGCAGTGTGAGGAGACCTGAAAGTGGCACATGGCAGAGTGTGGCCGATGGAGACAGCAGCAATTGGGATGGCCGTACAGGGACGCCCATGAGACACTCTGGACCTGGGCGAGCAGCATGAGGAGGGCGGTAGGTACAGGGGCCCATGACAGATTACGGGCCTGGCAGTAGCAGCAATGGGAGTGCCCGGTAATCTGCCAGCACCCTATGACAAATGGAACCCACCAGCAGTGTGAGGAGACCTGAAAGTGGCACATGGCAGAGTGTGGCGATGGAGACAGCAGCAATGGGAGGCCGTACAGGGACCCATGACAGATTCGGGCCTGGCAGCAGCATGAGGAGGACTGGTACAGGGGCCCATGACAGATTACGGGGCCTGGCAGCAGCAATGGTGGGAGGCCCGTAATCTGCCAGCACCCTATGACCAAAATGGAAACCCACTAGCAGTGTGAGGAGACCTGAAATGGCACATGGCAGAGTGTGGCGATGGAGACATGGGCCCCCCTGGCCACGCTTTGACTTTCTGGCCACATAGTCGACACATACGGACTACGTTTACTTCCTCGGGCGGCTTTGACGAAAAATGTGCCACAAGCACACGCGCCGAGTAGGAATAACTTTGCCCCGCTACTCCTCACTGGCTGACTGCCTCCCTCGCTACTCGCCTTCCTCCTTGCCGTGCTTACCCCGGCACCACTACTGGCCGGTCGGTGGGTAGGCTGCAGTGGAGCTGGTGCTCTTACTCCGTGGCTGTTTGCTCCCACTGACACTGCTGCGAAACCCTGCTGCCTATTTCCTGGGCAAACCCACCGACTGTTTTGCTCGCTGCCAAGCTGAGGCACCCTCTTCTCCTGATGATGCGGAAGCAATAGCCTGGATGACGACGAGGCTGCCAAGTGCGATCAGCCTCATCATCATCAATTAGGGTCTCCAGCCTCACTACTAGCCCCCTCGGCATGCGTGTGGGTCAGGAGACAGACCTGTCTGCTCTAGGACCGGCTACCGAGCCACTCTCCTCGCCAGTACTCTTCACATGGCTGCTGAAGAGGCGGATGTCTCCCCCTTGTCCCGTTCCTGACCTGCCCTCTGTTAGCTCTTCCTCACTGTACAGTGGGGGGCTGAGCCCACAGCATGCGATACTTCGCTTGGTGAGGGAACACCAAAGGACAGGGCAGGGTAGAGGACACGTGATTTCAGTGGGCTTGCTCCCGGGCCATGCCAACTAACGGTTGTGTCTGACCGTACCCAACGATCGTTGGCTGTAGGTGTCAGAGGTGACCTGGGAGAGAGAGGAAGACGACCGAGCCAACCAATCGATGACGGCCAGGGGTTGTACCAGGGTTGTCGGTGCAGACCAACGACCGCTGGATGACACCGGGAGCACTGGCCTCTGCTGCGACTTTAGTGCTGCCTCGACCCCTTCCTCTGCTGCGCCACGTCTCTGCTCGCTCCTGAAACATTGCCTCCTCTGCCACTCCTCTGCGTGTTGTCCTGACATACTCTTTAATTCAATGATTCTGTGTCCCTGGAGTAAACGATTCTGTGTCCCTGAGTAACAATTCTGTGTCTGTCCCCTGAGTAACAATTCTGTGTCCCTCAGTAACAATTCTGTGTCCCTCAGTAACAATTCTGTGTCTGTCCCTGAGTAACAATTCTGTGTCCCTGTATAACAGTTCTGTGTCCCTGAGTAACAATTCTGTGTCCCTGAGTAACAGTTCTGTGTCCCTGAGGTAACAGTTCTGTGTCCCTGAGTAACAATTCTGTGTCCCTCAGTAACAATTCTGTGTCCCTCTGAGTAACAATTCTGTGTCTGTCCGTGAGTAACAATTCTGTGTCCCTCAGTAACAATTCTGTGTCTGTCCCTGAGGTAACAATTCTGTGTCCCTGAGTAACAGTTCTGTGTCCCTGAGTAACAATTTCTGTTGTCCCTGAGTAACAGTTCTGTGTCCCTGAGTAAACAGGTCTGTGTCGCCTGAGTAACAATTCTGTGTCCCTGAGTAACAATTCTGTGTCCCTCAGTAACAATTTCTGTGTCCCTCAGTAACAATTCTGTGTCCCTGAGTAACATTTCTGTGTCCCTCAGAGTAACAGTTCTGTGTCCCTCAGTAACAATTTCTGTGTCCCTCAGTAACAATTCTGTGTCCCTCAGTAACCAATTCTGTGTCTGTCTCCTGGAGTAACAATTCGTGTTTGTCTCTGAGTAACAGTTCTGTGTCCCTGAGTAACAATTCTGTGTCCCTGAGTTAACAGTTCTGTGTCCCTGAGTAAACAGTTTCTGTGTCCCTGAGTAACGTTCTGTGTCTGTCCCTGAGTAACACATTCTGTGTCCGTCAGTAACAATTCTGTGTCCCTCAGTAACAATTCTGTGTCTGTCCCTGAGTAACAGTTCTGTGTCCCTGAAGTAACAATTCTGTGTCCCTCAGTAACAAATCTGTGTCCCTCAGTAACAATTCTGTGTCCCTCAGTAACATTTCTGTGTCCCTCAGTAACAATTCTGTGATCCGAAGTCTGCTAATTTTCGGATAATTTTTTCTAATATTTGAAACGAATTCCACTTCGCCAAGTTCGATTCGCTCATCTCTAAAAATGACACATCTTTGCTTTTGTTTGGCAAAAAACCAGGGGATCTGAAATCCAATATCAGCTATGTTGTTCAGTGATGTGGATCCAGGTCAATCACTATGAGCAATGCCTGATAATATTAACTCACCACTACTCCCATTGCAAATGACAGCTCACCGGCATTGCTGGAATGTAAAAACAGCAGTCATTGATCAAATATGGCCATGACCATATTTGGTCAATGACATAATCCAGAATTCACAGCACTGTTGTTTCAGCACTTTCTTTCCTTTGAATATGTCCTGTATGTTCCCAAATATTACATTATAAATGATATAATATAATAAATCACATTGTATTTGCCTTGTCAAAGCCAAAGTTATTTTTTACTGGCATGATCACTTTTAATGTAATGTTATAAAGGGGATAAGTGACAGAGTGCTTGCACAGCCAAGCTTCCTGCATTATACAATACATAAAGGACAAACTAAAATAGAAGTAGTGAGGTCAGACTGGGAGATTGGCTTTCAACGTGAGAAGAAAGCAGGGCACAGATTACCTGAAAAACATACATGGATAGATGATCTTTAAGCATACAGCAAAATCATAATGAATAAAAAATAGGCTGTATCATGGCTGTAATATTGTACTAATTCCATACACTACTGTAGTACAATGCAAGCCATGCAACTATTCTACATATTAAAAGAAATATTGTACATGTGGGTGTTCTTTTGAAATATACTTCATAAACATGCAGTTGTAGATCACTTGAGTGTGCATTCTCATGGCTTTGGAGGAGTATGGGGAAGAGCAGAAAGATATTCCTATTGCCAGTTTACGTCAGTAAAAAACAATAGTTGAAGTAAAACATGGCATCAAATCTCTAAATCAAAAAATCTTGAGTCAAGTCAAGAAAAAGGGTTGGCAGAAGCCAAGTAAGAGTTGTGGCAGGATAACAGACACTGATAAATAACATTCTACCAGTTCCACCCAAAATAAAAACAATGGGTGGAGAGTGGTGCCAGTTACACACTTTATGATTCCCAAACTTGTTGGGAAGTAGCCACAGGCCAAATCATTTTTGCCATAAAAAACTGAACTTATTAACAGGGAAGCTTTTAGCAGGAAGATAAATCTGACATTTTGACTTTAAGCCAGGATCCTTCTTAATCCTTTTCCCTTTATCCTTATTCCTTCCAAGCATTCAGCCTTAGTAACAAGTTTATTTTAATCTCATCCTTCACTAATCCCTAGTCGCAGACCTTTTATAACAAGCAAAAGCAGTATTTGCAGTGGTAATTTTGACAATTTCCTCCTAATCAAGCAAGCTCCACTTAAGAAGAAAGATCAGATATATGCATGGAACCTTCTAATTTTTGAAATATGATGAGGAGTTTGACTTATTGATCTCTTCATTACATTTCCTATCTAACAGATGTACCATGGACTAAACCCGTAAGGGTCAGGAACTTGATGTGACAGCTTATCTTCTGTTCATTAGTAAAGCCACTTTTTGTTTTTCACTGTTGGTATTATACACCTCTGGTGGTGTTATTATTTGCCTCAACCCCTGGCACTGTCACCTTTTCTGGACATTTAGTATACATGTAAATTAAAAAAAATAATATAATTGAAAGCTTATGAAATAAAAAATAATATATGAATTTATATCATTACATGTGTCAACTCATACACTTATCAGAATATTCTATTTTCCTACAATATTGGTCCTTTAAATAGGTTCAAAGCAATACAATTTTCATTTCAAAGCTTTACAAAATACTTTTGCATAGAGAGGCTACAGTATTTGTACTTTGCATAACTTATTTTTTTTTAGCAATAAAAGATAAAATATATCACAACATTGTCACTTCACTCATGCCCTAACTACTAAAAAACCGAAAAGGCTCACTGATGTATGGTCACAAGATTCATCATAGACTATAGAATCCCTGTATTTGATTTAGCCCTTCAGGACAATCTTTCCATTGCATGTACGATAAGATCTATGTTGCTATGGAAATTGTTCTGCCATTTGGGGAAACACTGTACTGACTGTTATTTCCTTTATTCATGTGCTGATTTTATTTAAGCTATCTGTGAATCTGAACTTTGACCATAGTGCGATGTAAGAGATTCTTTTAAAAAGTAATTTTCTGTGAGTTTTTCATGCTGTCTTATGTATGAAGGTTAAAAAAGAATACCACAGATACTAATTGCATCTAAACTGACTACATAAGACGCATAAAGTTCAACAGCAACTCATTCAAAGTTCAAAAATTCAATTTTCAAATACATCTGTGAGTCATAGCTAAGTGGGTTTGAATCTAGGGGCAAACAAAGCTTTAATCCTGGAAATTAGTAAGCACTTTCCCTGTTGTACTTCTTGTGCGAGCTGATGGTACCATTGCATTCTAATGTGAATCCAAGCAGTGTGATGAAGAGAACACAGGGTGTGTGTCATTACAGCCTGGGCTCACAGGAAGGTTACATACAGTAGTTACATAGTTCGGTTAAAAAAAGACCATATAGTTCAACCAATAGAAAAAAAACAGAGTAAATAAAGGGAAAAACTCCATATACAGAATGCTATACCCACAGTTGATCCAGATGAAGCAGAAAAACCCATACATAAATCATGGTCCAATTTGCCACAGCAGAGGATAAATAAATTCCTTCCTGATCCCCCAGGATCCTTGGAGCAACAATCCCTATGGATGGTACCTACAAATGTTAATATACAGTTTATTTTGTGCACTTAAGAATGTATCCAGCTCTTTTTTAAAACAGTGGCAGTTAAATCTCTTTTTTCTCCAGACAAGCTGGCAACACCTCCGTGTCCTTTTTAATGACCTTAAAGGGAATAATTCTACACTAAGTTCACTTTGTGGATAACTTATGTATTTATAAACGGTGATCATATTCTCCTTGATCAAGAATAAATTGGGTTCAGCTAATATTTGCCCATAGCTGAGCTCCTGCATGCCTCTTATGAGTTTGGCCACCCTTCTTTGCACTTTCTTCAGTTCCCCAATATACAGTATATTCCAGATGAGGTCTTTCTAATGTTTTGTAAAGGGGCAAAGTTATGTTTGTCTTTCTCTATTTCACTCTTGGAGTCTAAATACATTTACAAGAAATTATTTTGCTTGTTTTAGAAACTATACATATATATATATATAGTATTGTATGCTATTATAAAGAATTATGATCTACCAGAACACCAAGATTCTTCTTGACCATTGACTCTCCCAGTTGTACTCTCTCCAGAATGTATTGTGCATGCATGTTTTTAGACCGTAAGTGCATAGCTTTACACTTATCAACATTAAACTAAATTTGCCCAATGAAGTAGTATATTGAGGTCAGCTTGTATGCTGGAGACATCCTGTGTTATTCCACTACATAGGTTGGTGTCATCTGTAAATACAGAAATGGTTATTTGGATTCTACATTTTTATATAATTTATAAAAATGTTATAAAGTAAGTGTCCCGACACTGAAACTTGGGGTACAACACTAATAACCTTAGTCTATTCAGAGTATGAATAACTAATCATTACTCTCTAAATATGTTCTTTTAGAAAGTTTTCTATCCATTTGCAAACTGAATATCTAAACCTATATACTTTTATCTGCACATTAGTCTTGTGTGGGGAATTGTGTCAATTACTTTTGCAAGGTTCTTGCATACCATATTCACATGTTCCTTTGGCTAAGTTTGTGCTTACTTTCTAAAAAAAAAAAAAAGAAGAATCGTTTGACAAATTAATTTCTATTGCTTAAAATATTGTTTTCTAGCAAAAACTTTTTTCTATTTCTTTCTTTATAATGACTTATCACAAACTCCACACATACATAGACGTTTTTATATAACAAATCAAAACAAAAACTATACATATATGCTAACATCCAGGTACCCAACAATCTAATTGCTAAGTACAGCATTTACATTTACAATACACCCATATTTACCCATGGCCCTTAAGAAAATAACCAATAACTTACTTTTAAATTTCTGTTTGTGAGGATGATACACAGAGCCCTGCCTAATTTTCTCTCCCCCATTTCCCTCCTCTGTTCCCCTAAAAAAAAAAAGAAAAGTCTTACCAAACACCATATTTATTAATAATATTTTGGACACAGGATCAGGGAAAGAATGCCTTATATTTCACCGTTGAGGTGAAATGAATCCACCCACTCCAGGTTTTATGAAAACAAGCTTCCTGTCTTTTCACTGATGCTGTAAGCTCCTCCATATGCATTATCTCATTCACTGCTCCAATCCCGTGTTCCACTTTGGTGGAGAGGAGAACTTCCAATGTGCAGCTATACAAGCCCTCGCAGCATTAAGGAGATGTCTTAGCCCTCGAGATATCTACCCCGAGAGAGAGAGAGAGAGAGAGAGAGAGAGAGAGAGAGAGAGAGAGAGATAAGATGTAATAGACATGCTGCTGGGTGCCAATCAAGGGAAAGACCAGAGATACCTTTAATCAAAGTGCACACCTCTTGACAATAAGGGCGAATTCCGGGACATGTCCAGAAAATATGGAAGAGTGTTCCCCTTTCTTC